CCAGAAAATAAAAAAACTTGCAAAAATTGCAATTCAGATCAAATTGAAGATAAAATGCATTTTATCTTAGATTGCAATTTCTATGGAAGTAGAGAGAAAACATGTCTTGATGTATTTTAAAATAAAAATTAATGAGTTGTCCAGATGGAAAGCTTCGTGAAAATAATGGGGAATAATATAGCTTTAGCGAACCCTAATGTCACTTGGTATATGTTACTCGTGTCTGTATAGATGTAAAACGGTGGTAGGTTTAGAGGGGCCCGGGATCACCATCCAAAAATATTAATCGTAAACACAAAACATTGACGTTATTGCAAGGTGCGCGCTCCCCAAAACACAAATCCTGTATTCGTCTCTGGTATTATTTCATAATATATACTAATTGTCCGCACCAACGTATGGTAGCTTCGTCTATTCAATCTACCAAAAGTTGGGGCGTGTATTGTTTATAGGCATAATCATATAATCCATTTCCTGTTTAGCATAATGTATAACGCAAGGTGTTACATAATTGAACTATGGGCATTCATACAGTTTAGACAGTAAAGCTCTTTTTAATGACAACACAATCATATAATATACAAGGCTAGAAATAGTCGATTCTGCAACCATCTTCATTGTGTGTGAATACATTGATATAACCACATCTTCCAAAGTGATTGCCACTGTTATATGAGGGTCTTTGTCCACCAGCATCACCCTCACGCATTGCCCACTGGTTCACATTCCTTTCCCAATCTCCGCCATACCCTTTGAGTTCAAACCATTCATCATCAGTGTTAGTGCAATCCATATCTACGTCTAACATCCATAAGTGGTCTGTATAGGTATTGTAAGGCTCATAACCATATCCATCCTCTTCCACGGTTGCATGATAATTAGGATTGGTTGTCGTCCATACCATGGGGGATCCACTCGCCTCTATTCCCTTATACCCGCCTTGGTTCGACTCTGAGCCATACCAGTCCAAGTAGTCATCGTTTATCATCCACGAATTGTATTTGGCATTAGTACCTTTGACATAATGGACAATCGGTATTGAACATGGATTGAATATAGCGTCTTCATAAGATCCATTATGTCGAGTTTCGTCTAACCCACCTCGTAAGAAACACCATGAACACAATTGTGCGTCTGTATGGTGACTTGGTAGAAGACACTGTTGTGGATTTCATCGTTGTTGTAATTTGGGTTGTGTTGAGATATGTTGTAGGAAGGGTAGACGTTCGTTGAGTGGTAGTCAGATATGTACTAGGAAGAGCAGAAGTACTTCGGGTTGTACTGGAATGTGTTGTAGGATGGATAGAAGTATTTTGTGTTGTACTGGAATATGTTGTTGGAAGTGTAGAAGTACTTCTGGTTATTCTGGGATGTGTTGTAGGAAGGGAACTAGTGCTTTGGGTTCTAATGGGATATGTTGCGGGATTGGTAGATGCTCGTTGGGTTGTATTTGGATATGTTGTAGGAAGGGTTGATGTTCTTTGGGTTGTAGTGAAATATGTTGTGGGATTGCTAGATGTTTGTTGTGTTGTAGTGGAATGTGTTGTAGCAACGGTAGATGTTTGTTGGGTTGTAGTGGGATATGCTGTAGAAAGGATAGATGTTCGTTGGGTTGTAGTGGGATATGTTGTGAAATTGCTAGATGTTCGCTGGGTTGTTCTCGGATATGTTGTAGGAAGGGTAGATGCTTGTTGGGTTGTAGTGGGATATGCTGTAGAAAGGGTAGATGTTCGTTGGGTTGTTCTCGGATATGTTGTAGGACGGGTAGATGCTTGTTGGGTTGTAGTGGGATGTGTTGTAGAAAGGGTAGATGTTCGTTGGGTTGTTCTCAGATATGTTGTAGGACGGGTAGATGCTTGCTGGGTTGTAGTGGGATGTGTTGTAGAAAGGGTCGATGTTTGTTTGGTTGTGGGGGGATGTGTTGTAGATGTTTCTTGAGTTGTAGTGGGATAAGTCGTAGAAAGGGTAGATGTTTGTTGGGTGGTTGTGGGAA